AGTCGCGCTCCCAGGCTACGATCCTTCGTGCAGGGCGCTGCGCCTGCGCTCCCGGTGCCACGTACCCTTCGTGAGTTACTCGGGCTCGCGCTCCAGGAGCCACTCTCGATGCCAGGGCCAAATTTTAGGTCGGGCATGTCCTCCTACAAACAGATTCTGGAGGACAGAGAACTGGCTGGACCCACGAACCCGGAAAGGGATATAGGCATGTGAAGCATGGAAACGTTTCGAGACACCTGGATTGGGCGATGGGCAGTAGCAATGATGAATCTATCGTTGGTGATGGCACCGTGCTAGAAGCTGCGCTGCGCTGTGCCGTGCTGCGAAATGCTGGACAAAACGAAACGCGAAACAGCCCCCCAAACGCCATACGAAGCACCCCGCGACACACCCCAAGAAACACTCAACGAAGCACGCTGAGAAACACTTGACGAAGCACCCAACGAACAGCCACGAAACACCCCACGAATCACCAAACGAAACACCCCACGAAACACCCCACGAAACACTCCACGAAACATCCCACGAACCACCCCACGAAATAGACGTGCCAACAATGCGCGCTGTCCTGCGCCGCGTTGTGCCGTGCTGCCAAACTCAACTTCCGACTCAATTATGAAACGGTACGAACCGAGAGGGGGCGAATCCAAAGAAAGGCGGGACGCACCGAGCAAGGACGGACCGCAACGCGGCACACCGAGACACTACGAATTGAGACAGGACGAACCGAAGCAGTACCAACCGAGACGAGATCCAACATGACGCTGCGCCCCCGCTCCAGCTGTCAAGACCCCTCATAAATTACGCTGCGTCCGCATTCCTAGGACCACGAACCTTAACAATTCACACTGCGCCCGCGCTCCAAGGGCTCCGATCCCTCGTAGATAACACTGGGGTCGCGCTCCCAGGGCCCTGATCCCTCGTAAATTACGCTGCGCCCGCACTCCAAGGGCCACGATCCCAAGTAATTTACGGTGCGTCCGCGCTCACAAGGCCACGATCTTTTGCAAACTACGCAAGGTCCGCGCTCTCACTGCCGCGATCCCTCGTATATTACACTGGGGTCGCGCCCCCAGGGCCACGATCCCTAGTAAATTACGCTGCGTCCGCGCTCCCAAGGCCACGATGCCTTGTACATTAAATGCCCTTGTAAATTACGCTGCGTCCGCGCTCCCAGGGCCAGGATCCCTCGTAAATCACGCTGCGTCCGAGCCCCCAGGGCCCCGACCCCTCGTATTTTACGCTGCGTCCGCGCTCCCAGGGCCACGATCCCTCGTAAATTACATTGCGTCCGAGCTCCGAAGGCCCCGACCCATTGTAAATTACGCTGCGCCCGCACTCCGAGGGCCACGATCCCTTGCAAATTACGCGTGGTCCGCGCTCCAAACGCCACGATCCCTTGTAGATTACGCCTTGTCCGCGCTCCCAGGGCCTCCTGGGGCATGCTGGGGCGCCCCATCCTCGAGCGGGCACGCACAAAGTTAACATTTTCACGCTTTCCGCGCCGAATTGGACCTTGCCTCGTTTTTGATAAAAAGGAAAACGGGGGTCCGCGCACCCCGTTATTGATCGAGGATCCGAAAGGGGGGGCCGATTTTTCTTGAGCGGGCACGCGCGAAACTCCCTTCCCGCGCCGAATTTGACTTTATCTCGATTTTTATAATGGAAAACGGGGGGCCGCGGACCTCCATATTTATCGAAGATCCGGCCGGGATAAGGGGGTCTACTTTCCTCGAGCGGGCACGCGCGAAACACTTCACGCCGAATTTTACTTTACATAGTTTCTTATCGAGCGGGAATTCCGCTGGCCCTACAGAAGCTGGCACCGGGGAAAATTAACACAACTAAAAGAGAACCCTGGGCCCACGCCCTTTCCGGGAACATGATCGACCCACGAACCCAGAGGGAACATAGAAATGTAAGACATGGCAACGATTCAAAGACACCTGATCGGGCGACGGGCAAATGCAATGCTGAGTGTATCGATCTTGATGTACCGTGCCGAGGGCTGTGCTGTGCAGCGCCGTGCTGAACTGCGATGTGCCATGCCTCGATTGTGCTATATAGCGTTGTGGATCGAGTCCTCCTTTGTATCCGAGTCCTGACCGAACTGATCTGGATCTTAAGCTCGAGCTGCCTCAGCACGTAGTAGCTGTCCCAGAGCTAATTGACAGGGGAACATGCCAGGAGGACGCGCCGCGGAACGTCCCAAGGGACGCGCCAGGCGACGTGCCAAGGGACGTGCCACGAAGACGCACCGCGGGACGTGCCCAGGGGACGCGCTACGGAACGTGCCAATGGACGTGCCACAGGACGTGCCAGGGGACGCGCCGCGCGACGTGCCACGGGGACTCGCCACGGGACGCGCCACGGAACGGGCCAAGTTGCAATGCTGAGTGTATCGATCTTGATGTACCGCGCCGAGGGCTGTGTTGTGCTGCGCTCTTCTGAACTGCAATGTGCCATGCCGCGATTGTGCTATATAGCGTTGTGGATCGAGTCCTCCTTTGTATCCGAGTCCTGACCGAACTGATCTGGATCTTAAGCTCGAGCTGCCTCAGCACATAGTAGCTGTCCCAGAGCTAATTGACAGGGGAACATGCCAGGAGGACGCGCCGCGGAACGTCCCAAGGGACGCGCCAGGCGACGTGCCAAGGGACGTGCCACGAAGACGCACCGCGGGACGTGCCGAGGGGACGCGCTACGGAACGTGCCAATGGACGTGCCACAGGACGTGCCAGGGGACGCGCCGCGCGACGTGCCAAGGGGACTCGCCACGGGACGCGCCACGGAACGGGCCAAGTTGCAATGCTGAATGTATCGATCTTGATGTACCGCGCCGAGGGCTGTGTTGTGCTGCGCTCTTCTGAACTGCAATGTGCCATGCCGCGATTGTGCTATATAGCGTTGTGGATCGAGTCCTCCTTTGTATCCGAGTCCTGACCGAACTGATCTGGATCTTAAGCTCGAGCTGCCTCAGCACATAGTAGCTGTCCCAGAGCTAATTGACAGGGGAACATGCCAGGAGGACGCGCCGCGGAACGTCCCAAGGGACGCGCCAGGCGACGTGCCAAGGGACGTGCCACGAAGGACGCACCGCGGGACGTGCCGAGGGGACGCGCTACGGAACGTGCCAATGGACGTGCCACAGGACGTGCCAGGGGACGCGCCGCGCGACGTGCCACGGGGACTCGCCACGGGACGCGCCACGGAACGGGCCAAGTTGCAATGCTGAGTGTATCGATCTTGATGTACCGCGCCGAGGGCTGTGTTGCGCTGCGCTCTTCTGAACTGCAATGTGCCATGCCGCGATTGTGCTCTATAGCGTTGTGGATCTAGTCCTCCTTTGTATCCGAGTCCTGACCGAACTGATCTGGATCTTAAGCTCGAGCTGCCTCAGCACATAGTAGCTGTCCCAGAGCTAATTGACAAGGGAAAATGCCAGGAGGACGCGCCGCGGAACGTCCCAAGGGACGCGCCAGGCGACGTGCCAGGGGACGTGCCACGGGGACGCACCGCGGGACGTGCCGAGGGGACGCGCGACGGAACGTGCCAATGGATGTGCCACGGGACGCGCTCCCAAGGCCGCGATCGCACGCAAATTACGTTGCATCCGCGCTCCCAGGACTACGATCCCTTGTAAATTACATTGGGGTCGCGGCCCCAGGGCCCCGATTCCTTGTAAATAAGCTGCGTCCGCGCTCCCAGGGCCACGATCCCTCGTAAATCACGCTGCGTCCGAGCTCCCAGGGCCCCGACCCCTTGTATTTTGCGCTGCGCCCGCGCTCCAAGGGCCATCCTTGTAAATTACATTGCGTCCGAGCTCCGAAGGCCCCGACCCCTTGTAAATTACGCTGCGCCCGCGCTCCGAGGGCCACGATCCCTTGCAAATTACGCGTGGTCCGCGCTCCAAACGCCACGATCCCTCGTAGATTACGCCGCGTCCGCGCTCCTGGGGCTTGCTGCGGCGCCCAGGTCCCTCAAGTCTTGCAAAACAAGCGTTTCGCTCGAGACATCCTCGACTTTTTGCCGCGGGGGGCGCGCCATCCTCGAGCGGGCACGCAACAAACTTAACATGTTCACAGTTTGTGTCCCGGTCGGTGCTCCAGACCTTGGTTTTTCTCGATGGTTCTGCTAAAATTGGCCCGCACCCCTTTTTCACGACGGAAAACGGGGGTCCGCGGACCCCGTGATTTATAGAAGATCCGAAATGGGGGGTCGACTTTCCTTGAGCGGGCACGCGCGAAACGCATTTTCTTCACGCCGACTTGGACTTTACCTCGTTTTTTATCGAACGGAAATCTGCTGGCCTCCTTCAAGTTAAAACGGGGGGCAAACAAACTAAAAGAGAACCCTGGGCCCCAGCCCTGTTCCAGGAACAAAAAAGTCAAACAAAGATCCCCAAATGGTCAAACAATACCAAAAAAGTATCCCTAATTTTTTTGGGGGGGCCATTGTTGAACCTTCCTCCAGTAGAGGGACACGCCCGACTTAAGCCAAGTTCCAGGCCGAGGCTTCAAGATCGCAGCGCGTCGAGGAGCTCTGGCCGCGGATCAGACATCGACGGTGCCCGGCCCTCCCTCCGGCGCACGTATGGGCAGCGCGGGGGGCGAAGCACCTGCGCGGCGCCACTGCGCGAGCCACGTCTTGGAACCGACCGGCGATCGATCCGCGCGTCTGCAAAACTCATCCGAAGCAAAGGTGCGCGGCGCCAAGGCGTAACCAAAACCAATCACAAACGACGTGTGCTCACCCACCGAAGCTCCCGGGAGCTTTTCGAGCGAGTGCGCGCGGCGCCAAGGTGAGAGGCAGGCATTGGAAAAGCGCCGCCGTCGAGTGGAGATCTCCAGCTCAGGAGGCACCCATGTCGATGAGGTAGAGGGTAATCGAGAAGATGACGTAGATGACGTGAAAACAATGTGGGTGAGGAAAAGGGATCGGATCAAGAGGAGCATGAACGGAGAGAGACGGAGCGAGAGGGAGATGTAGAGAGAACAGGTGGCGATGAGAAAGGAAAAACGTGTTCGTCGGGGTGAGGGGCTGGGCAGCACGGTTTTACAGCCTGCGCCAGCCATGTCTGTGCGAACAGCTGGTGTTGATCGGACCTCTTCGGAAGACCGCGCGGACCGAGGCCGCAGAGGAAATGCTGGCGCCACAACAAGTTGCGTCAGAAGTTCGCACACATCCCCGCGAAAGTGGAGTTCCTCTGGATCAGCTCCACCCTGTACCCGCTCGGGTCGAGCGCGAAGGCGATCTGCGGCATCGTGCCGTCCTCGGGCCTCTTGAAGAACTTCACGCCCGCTGCCTCCAGCTCGCTGCAGCTGGCGACGAGGTCGTCCACCAGGAAGCCGATGTGTCCGAAGCCACGCGCTGGATCCGAGTTGCCGGCGTGGACCTGGAAATCTTCCCGCAGCTCGGTGCCGTGGTTGTGGGTCAGCTCGAGCACGGGCTGCCACAGCGTCTTCACAAAGTCCCTCGCGTCGGGGCCCTCTGGGTCGGGGGCCTTCTGCTTCTCCTCCTCGGAGAGGCACGCGAGGAAGTAGTTGCTGAAGTCGTTCGGGACGTGCATGGCGCGTATCAGCGTCATGCCCATCATGTCTCTGTAGAAGGCAATGGTTGCGTTCGCATCCTTCACGCGCATCATCGTTTGCGAAAGGATTTCCCTCTCCTGGAAGAGCCCTTTGGTCCTCGATACAAGCTCTATCCAGTATCCATCCGGATCAAGCGCGAAGGCAAGGCCTTTCATGCGACCCTCGTCGGGTCTCTTCTGAAACTTGACCCCGTCCTCCTCCAGTCTCTTGCTGACCTCGTAGACGTCCTCCACGTTGAACGCGACGTGGCCGAATCCGCGCACCTGTGGACAGCCAAAGCCACTGTCACATGGGGATTCGTTGACCCTCAGGAAGGGGGAGACAAGGGTGGGAAGAAGAGGAAGAGACGAGGACGAGAGGAGGAGGAGGAGGAGCAGGAGGAGGAGAAGAAGGACAAGGCGTGGGACGCAGCTCGAGAGCTACGTTGCGATTTGGACTCTGCGCGAGGGGCAGGCCCGACGGCCATCGGTCCCGCCGAGCTCCAGCCGTCAACACACGAGCTTAGACTCGTTGTGCGGAAGCCCGGGTGAGCCCACAGCAGGCCAGAGCCGCACGAAGAGGAGGAGTCTCGGGAGAAGCAGGAGGGGAAGGAGAAGCATGACACAGAACCGAACGCCCCCCACTACCACCGCAGCGCCGAAGGGATCTTCAACATGGCCGCTCAGATCGCGGCTGACCCCGCCAGATTCCGCACGAAAGCTGAGTCGGCGTGAGCCCTCGTAGGGAGCAAATACTGCGTGCTCGGCTGTATCCGCCTAATCCACCTGGTCACAGGCTGGGTCGGCGAGGACGGGGACCCACTCAAGAAACTCATCACGACTACGTGGCAATCTGGCCGGAGGCCAACAGATCACAGCAACCTCTCGATCTGTCCCCCTCTGGCACGACCCTCTGTTAATCGGCGCGCTCTGGGAGCCGTGAACCCCCGTAAGCAAGGAGCCCAACTCTGTACACCGACGCTTTTTCTTCTGGCCCCGCACCAAACATTCGCACAGGAAACCGGATCCTGGTGTATACGGGATCCTGCTGTGTAGATGTTTCGTCGTTCCCCCGGGACAACGGGGAAAGAAGTACGCACCACAGCACCCCGACGTCGACCCCGACCCTCAAAAAGTCCTGGGCTCGAATGACAGCCCGTCGTTGGTGATGTAGATGCTCCAGATCCCGAACAGGTGATCACATTCGGCTGTGGACAAGCCTCCATTTAGTAAACCTACCCTTAGTGAAAACGGCCTAGGACCGAAACCGACGGACCTGGACCCGCAAACATGACGGCCGCGACGCCCTCTCGCGAACCGAAAACGGCCAATCCCTTAATCGACGTGTCGGGGTAATTATGGGGTCTGTCCATCCCCGGCACATCTGTTTTTGGAGAACGACTTTTGCTCCCGCCCTCTTCCGCCGTCTGCCCCTCCTCCTTCGGCCAGCCTCCGCCCGCGGAGCCGGCCCTGCTTTTTACTTCTGCCGGCCTGCCGCCACCGCCCCCCGAAGAAGCGAGGTCCACCCCTCGAGTCCTCGAGGGCGGGCGCTGCCTTTCCTGCAGCGCTCTCTGGGCGCTCGTGAGCCGGGACGGGCTCCGAAGGCCCAAGCCCAGAGGTTTGGCACGACGGCGAGAGAGGTCCTGAAGGAAACGGCCCCCTGCACCGGCGAGAGAGACGGGCGCCGGGCTACTGTGGGGACGCGTGGCTCGCGCCTTCCTGCAATCCCGTGCGCGCTCGATCCATTCGCAGATGGGAAGTCTAGGAACGCGTGCATCCTGATGTCCTGCCCTTTGGTCCCCAACATCCCCGTGCGGCCCCAGCTCCGGAGGACGAGTCGTCCAGACTCTTGCGTTAGGTCGGGCGTGTCCCCGTACAGGCGGATTTTTTGACGAAGAATGAAATATATCCCCAAACGTATCCCAACATACTCCAAAATTGTCAAAGAATCGTCACCACATATTTTTGTTTTCTTTTGTTTTTTTTCTAAGAAAAACTATGCTTGAAGATTCCTCCTGTGGAGGGACAAGCCCGACTTTGCTCCTGCGCCGAGGGGCGGCCCGAGCCTCGGGCCCGCTCGGCCGCAAAGAGGTGGTCGCGCTCGCCAGGCCCCCCCACCCGCACGGGGGCGGCTCCCCGCCCCCTGCACTCCTGGGGAGTGCAAGGGCGGCGGCGCGGCCGTCCGAGGACTCGGCGGTGCGCCGGGGCGGCGGCGGACGCTCGACGCTCGACGCTCCTCGCTCCTCGCTCCTCGATCCTCCTCCTCCTCGATCTTCGATCCTCAATGCTGAATCCTCCTCCTGCTCCTCCTGCTCCTCCTGCTCCTCCTGCTCCTCCTGTTCCTCCTGCTCCTCCTGTTCCTCCTCCTCCTCCTCCTCCTCCTCCTCGTCCTCCTCCTCCTCCTCGTCCTCCTCCTCCTCCTCCTCCTCCTCCTCCTCCTCCTCCTCCCCCCCTCCTCCTCCTCCTCCTCCTCCTCCTCCTCCTCCTCCTCCTCCTCCTCCTCCTCCTCCCCCTCCTCCTCCTCCTCCTCCTCCTCCTCCTCCTCCTCCTCCTCCTCCTCCTCCTCCAAATCCTGGCTGGTGACGCTGGGTCGTGCTCTCTGGTTCTGGGCAGCCGTTTGGGCCCCTCGGGGCCAACAAACCCCGGGAGCACGCAGCGAACCTCGATATTTCGAACTGGGCCACAGGATGGCCTCGGAGTGCCACGGGGCAACGCGTTTGCGTCGTCGTCGTCGTCGTCGTCGTCGTCGTCGTCGTCGTCGTCGTCGTCGTCGTCGTCGTCGTCGTCGTCGGGAGGAAGAAGAGGAGGAGGACGCGCACGGCCTGAAGGCGAACGGTCACGCCGTCTCGCCTCGCTGCGTGCGCAGGCACGGCCCCAGGCGACGAGGAGACCCGACGCCGCGTGAGTGCGAGCACCTAACACCCCGCAGCGCGGGGTGTTGGACGGCCGCAATCACCCCCAAACCCTCGGACCAGAGGCGGCTCCCCAGGAACGGGCCCCGCGGAGACCACCTGGGGCCCCACACCGCCAGGATCCGAGACGAATCCAGCAACCCGACCAGGCTCGGCCCCACGGGGGTCCCCTGGGTCGGGCGCGCGCTCGCCCGCGGCTCCGCTCAGCCCCGCAGCGGCGCAGCCGCGGCGGTAGGCCGCGAAAAGCGACGCGACCTGGCCACGCACCGCCTCCTCGGTCGCCGCTGCGGCGACCTCCGCCTCCACCTCACCCCCGCCTGCAGGTCGTTGAGACCGCGGCAAGGGCCCCTGGTGGCGCCGCTCTGGCGGCACTTCCACCCCTCTGGGGGCCGCCGCGTCCAGCCCGCGCGGTCCACCGAGGCCAGGCCAGAGGAAGGACGACGTCGATCATAACTCGCCGAATGGCTCCTCGGCGCCCCCGAGGTCGATCCATGAGCTGCGGTAACACCACCTCCAGGTGCTCTCGTCGAGGCGGGCCTGCCCCGCGCGCTGTTTACCCTGTGGGTGCACCAGGGGGCAGGCTCCAGCAAAAACCTTGGCGACTGAGCCCAGCCCCTCGCGCTGTTTACCTCGTGGGTGCCCCTGGGGGCTGGGACTTGCGTTCTAGCCGCCGACGGAGTCAGCAACCCCTGCACACCTGCGACCTGGTGGGGGTCCCCCTGCTGGTGGTGCCCGATGCACACGTCGAGGTAGGAGGCCCGCGCGCCACGGAGCCGCTCCTGTGCCACGCCGCCAGCGCCACCCCAGCCTGCAGCGCCTTGTGCCACGAGCCTCTGGCGGGCAGGGCCGACAGCAGGCCATCCGCGCCGAGGGGCTCCGAGTGGTGCCGCTCGGCCCTGCAGCGGCGCAGCCGCGGCGGTAGGCCTCGAAGAGCGACGCGACCTGGCCTCGCACCCTCTCCTTGATCGCCGCTGCGGCGTCCAACGCCTCCTCCTCGCCCCTGCCTGCAGGTCGGTGAAACGGCGGCAGGGGCCCCTGGTGGCGCCGCACTGGCGGCTCTTCCACCCCCCTGGGAGTCGCCGCGTCCAGCCCGCTCGTCACCGAGGCCAGACCAGGGGGAGGATGACGTCGAGCCGACCTCGCCGAAGGGCTCCTCGGCGCCCCCAAAGCCGATCCACTCGGTCCATGCCCGCCAAGTCCGACGCACATGTCGAGGTGGGAGGCCCGCGTGCCGCTGAGCCGCTCCTCGGCCGCGCCGCCAGCGCCGCCCCAGCACGCATCGCCACGTGCACCGCGAACCTCTGGCCGACGGCGGTCGCGAGGTGGGAGGGCAAGCTCATCGCGCGGCTCCGACGACCTCGCCTCGGCGAGAGCCGCTTCGGGGCGGGGGTTTCTCGGGTTCCTTTCGGAGCGCCCGCTATAGCCCCCGCCCCTCACGGGTCGACCCTCGGCTCGGCCGCCACCAACGCCATGTGCTCCCCGTGCCTCTGGCCGACGGGGCTCTGGTCGAAATGCACTCTCGCGTGCTGTCTGACCGCGGGCGGAGCAGGCGAGCAATCGCACACGAGCTTGTGCCAGGCGCTGGCGGCCTCCGGTGTGAGGCGCAGGCAAGCTCAGTCGAAGTGCCCGTGGAACATACAAGGGGGAACCAGACGAGAAACACGTGCAGGCCGAATAGGAAATTGCGCACCAGTGCACACACAACCAACACATACCCACGGAGTTGCGGATGCACTGGACGGTCCCAGGAACCCTCTCCTCCTCCTCCTCCTCCTCCTCCTCCTCCTCCTCCTCCTCCTCCTCCTCCTCCTCCTCTTCCTCCGCCTCCTCCTCCTCCTCCTCCTCCTCCTCCTCCACAGTTACCCAATATGAATACTACTTTCCCTCTTCCCCTAATGACGTCTTGGGAGTAGCCGCCCCCCCCCGCGCACTGTTTTTTACACACATGTTTCCCCAGAGTTGGGTTTTCGCCTGCATTTTTGTCCAAAATGCTGCTCTCGCTGAAGCGCCGGCCTCATTTTCGGGCCCCGCTCGTTCCGAATCGTGCTCCTGCAGCGCTGACATCATTTCCGCCGGCGCCCGGGCTGCACGCCCGAGCCGGCGCCTGGGGGCCGGATCCGGAGACGGTTCCGGCCGCCCCCGGAAAATGGAGTTCCGAGGCGGCGCCGAAAAAAGCCCATACTCTTTTTTTGTTGAAAATGCACAATTTCTGCCCCCGGCGCCCGGGAAGCCTCCCGGGCCGATTCCGACGCCCGCGGGCCGGCGGGCCGGCGCCCGGGCCGGGTCCGGAGCCGGTTCCGGCCAGGGCCGGAAAATCGAGTTCCGAGGCGGCGCCGAACAAAGGCCATTCTAATACACATGTTTCTTTTGAAAATGTTCAATTTCTGCTTCCGGCGCCCGCCTCCCGGGCCGATTCCGACGCCCGGGCTGGCGCCCGAGCCGGCGCCCGGGCTGGACGCCCGGGCCGGGTCCGGAGCCGGTTCCGGCCGGCGCCGGAAAATCGAGTTCCGAGGCGGCGCCGAAAAAAGGCCATTCCAATACACATTTTCTGTTGAAAATGCTCAATTTCTGCTCCTGGCGCCCGGGAAGCCTCCCAGGCCGATTCCGGCGTGCTTCCGCTCGTTCCGAATCGTGCTCCCGCTGCAGCGCTGGCCTCATTTCCGCGCTTCCGCTCGTTTCGACTCGTGCTCCCACTGCAGCGCTGGCGTCATTTCCCGTGCCATGCCACGGCATGCAATGCAATGCTAGGTTGATATTACGCTTCGCGGGCTCTTCTACGCCATGCCATGCCGTGCTCTACAATGCATCGCGTACCCTTTCGGGATCATCATTGCCCTGCTCGACATCCGACTGTGCGAGTAGAGAAGGGATCTGCGCCATGGTAAGGGATGGGAGGGAGGGGTAGGTTGTGAGATATGACGCGAACGCACCTAGCTTGCCCCCCTCCCACTCCCCCTCCTCCTCCTAGCAGCCCGAAAGGAATGCCGACAAGACAAGCTGTAAAGCAGTTAGAGAACACCTGGCCCCTCCCCAACGAAAAGGGTTCCTTCTTCAGCGGCCCGACTGTCAGGGCAGCCCTCTCCCCCCCTACCCGTCCCCTGAGGAGGGTGGGGGCCACGACCTCCCCACGAGAGACCATTCTCGCCCGTGCCCGCGAGGAGGATCCTCGAATCGCCGACGGCCACAGCAGAGAAACAGGAAGGGGCAGCAGACAATCACAAGGCATGCGTATCATCGAGGCCCTCTGGGGCACAGACCTGCCGAATAGGGAAACGTTGGGCCTTCTGCCAGCCAGCCCTCCGCCCTCGAAAGCGAGGCTCTTTCTGGAACGCCCCATTTGAAGGTCTCCAGAGGTCGCGTCTCGACATCGTTGTATGTTTGTTTTGACCCGCGGGCGCCACGTCCTCCCTGTAGAGCGGGCTGTCCTTGGGCAGGTCGCTCCCAGAGTTGCCGCTCCAGACCGAGAAGTCTGGGTCCTCCTGGCAGCGAGGGGTGCAGACAAAATTTTACCAGAAGGAATCTCGCCGCGTCGCGTCGCGTCGCGTGACCAATTTCGGAACCGACGTCTGCTGGCCTCGGCGCAACAATCATGTAAGCACGATGCTACGGCAAGATCGTGTCGTGACGACACCGGCGTTGGTTTCTGACACCGCGTGGCATCCCGAAGCGGGCCCCCCCCCTCCCATCCTAGCAAAAAAACAATACACGGTACACTTTGGGGCAAAGTCTGGAGTCAAGTTCGTGAGGCCCGCGGGCACTTTGTACTTTCGACAGGGACGGCGGGGGTGTCAGCATATTGCCTGCTGCGCGAATGCACCTCGCGGCTAAATGTGGATAGTGCGCGGCCATCCCGCGATCACTGTCAAGTGGTTTTTGTCAGGGACGGCAGGGGTGGTGGCGTATGGCCTGCTGTGCGCAGGCCCACCAGACACAATGATGGGCTGGGTTTTCGATAGGGATGGTGGGGGCCGACATGTTTCACGATGTATGCTGTCACGTGCGCAGGCGGACGTGGCGCACCTGGCGCGGCTGGAGGGAGCACCTGGCGTACTAGCCGTGCCTGGCACGCTCAGGCCCCAGGGGTGCCTGGCGCGCGTGGCGCGCCTGGCACGCGTGGCACGCTTGCTCCAGCGTCGCGCACTTGAGGGGCTCGGTATTGGTTCCCAGTAGTTAGCTTTCCATCAAAGGACAACCGCGGAACATGCTGAGGCTCGGGTGTTACTTATGTGTTGGGAGGGCGGGTGGGAGTGAGCTAGACGGCTTGCTATCTGGAGGGTGTCTTGACCCTTACTCCTACCCCCTCCCCTGGACCTGGACAAGCACATACAGACACATACGAGAAGACACAGACACATACGACACCTACGAGAAGAGACCCTGCGACTAATGTACGAGACATCGTTGGGCACAGTCCTTGTCGAGCTGCGAGGGCCTCGAGGTGCCTCAGAGCTTCTGCGTGTCCCTCGGGCCATCGCAGGACAACATACATCGGGAGTGGGTGGGTGGGTGGGTGGGGGGGAGAACCTGCTGGCCGGTGTATATATATATATATATATTATCTGACGTGCCAGCTGTATAATAAAAATGAGACCAATAGAAATTATGAAACTAAGAGTTTTAGTAAGGGTAGTGACAATAATAATGGTAATGATACGAATGACAATAATAATAAGAAACTGTTAATTTAAATAATAATAGTGATGCTAGTAATGGACGTAATAATAAGAAGAAACAACAGCAACATAAGAAGCCGGCCCGTAGCGAGAGCGGGGGCCCCCGCCCTCTCCAGCGATGCGCCAGGCCGCGGCGGCAAAGAAGAACATTGTATTGCGCAGCCTCGGCCGGTGATCACCCGTCCGTCCAACGCTTCCGTGGTCCAGCTCAAGTGCAACGGCAAGGGAGGACGGAACGGCGAGGGGGTCTCCTCGGAGCCGTGGTTGTGAGTCAACTCCAGGGTGGTGCCTTGCATGCTCCACAAGTACTTCTCCGACTCTTTCGTCCCTGGCGTGGGTAGCGTCACACCGTCCCGGGTACGCTCCAAGAAATCCTCGGAACTCCATCGAGCGAATCAGGCGCGTGCTGACGATGGTAAGACTTGAACTTGCTTGGTTCGCCCCAGCCCAAGCCAGTGTGCCCAAATGGCCACCTGATCAGAGTGAGGGGTCGCCGAACCTTCTTGCTTCGTCCATGTGCGCGCGTTGGAATTGCGGTTATCCCTCCTCCAGGACAACACGCGGGGACCATGCGAAGGGACCACATGGGGGGACCACACGGGGGGGGACAATACGGGGGGATCTGACGGGGGGACCCGACGGGGGAGCCATGCGAGGGGACCATACGTGGGCACCATACGAGGGGAACATCTGAGGGGACCCAACGGTGGGGACCCTGCGGCGGGCTTCATCAAAACTGCTTTCGAATCTCGCGAACTGCCGATGACCCCCTCCGTCCTCTCACCCTAATCCGCAGATGACCTTGCCCGCCCAGCTACAGCTGGACAGACTTTATGAGAGCGCTTACCTTAGCGTGCCTCTAGCAGGCCTGCCTGCCCCCTCTCGCTCCGCACAGACTATCTGGTGGCCTGCCAATCTGGCGGCCTACACTTTTACCGTCCAGGGAGTCATAAATTTACCTGGCCTGCGCTTACCTTATGTCACCCTCTCTGCTTGAAACGATATGGCTTACCTGTACGGCTCTGGATTGCAAGGCCTCCCGAATGCCCGCTTCAATCTCCCGCCCGCTTCCTTCATCTATTGGTGTCGTCCGCACCTTGCGCCTACGCTTCGGTCGGGCGTGTCCTCCTACAGGCGCGGGCTTTGGAGGAATAGTGAACAATACCCAAACAATGCTCGAACATATGCCAAATAATTAAACCACAATCCCCAGACTACTTTTTTACTATTTTCGAGTATTCCTCCTGTAGAGGGACACGCCCGACTTAGGCATGCGCCCGTTGGATGAGAGAAGCCGGCCACGCACGCCGCGAAGCGTCTGGGATATAGGGAGAATTTCATCGTCGGGAAATCGTACTTGTGCACGAGCTGCATGTTGAAGTGCTTTGTGTAGAAGGGGATCGATACCTGTCGGAGGGCGCGAACGACTCCCACGCCGACCCTCGCCGTGCCGATCCTGGGCCCAGGAGTCGGCGTGCCCAGCCCGAGCCGAGGACTGGCCCGGCCAGAACCGGAGCGGGGTCCGGGTACACACAGGCCGTTCGCAACCAGCTGGTTGGCACATGAAGTAGGACATCTGCCTGCGAAAATTCACGAACGGGGAACATACACGTCGTTCATGTCTAATCGTGCTCATTTATAACTGTGCTTGTTTCTAAATTGTTCCTGGCCCCCTAGTGGCCAGGAAGGAGCCCAGAATAGAACAATTAGCAATGAAAGGATCTGGCCCCCCCCCAAAAAAAATCAAGAACTTTCGAAGAACTAGAAATGAACAATGTGTATCCGTATCCGCGCCCACGCGGTCCGGATGCCCCGCGAATACGCGGTCGCACGGATGCGCTCCGCGCGGGGCATCCGCTAAGACCACCCCGTATCCGCGGGCTCGCGGCCAAGGGGCCCGGCCTGCGAAGCCGCGGATGCGGGTATGTTGTCGTCCGCGCGAATTATACACACATGTGTGTATATATATATATATATTTATATATATATATACATGTATATGTATGTATGTATGCATGCATGTCTGTCTGTCTGTCTGTCTGTCTGCATGTATGTATGTATGTATGTATGTATGTATGCATGTATGTGTGTGTATGTATGTGTATGTGAATCTACACATACAGAACATGACTCTGGCCCGCCAAGACGACAAGCGGCTCAAACAAACAAAACATCCTTTTTGGCACGGCGATGCGCCTGAGCTGCAGTCGGGAACTTTTGCTTGGCGTGTCGCGGCGGCGGCCTCGGTGACACGCTGTGCCTTGCAGACGGATAGCGTGTCGCTCCACTCCGCGGGGCGGGAGGCTCAGAGAGAGATCGGGGGACTGGGACGTGGATAGCCTGCCGCTCCGCACCATGGTGGGCCAGACACGGCGGAGCGGCACGCTAAGCCAAACTTCTGGACTGTAAGCGGTTCAAACACAAGGTTTCGACAGCAAGAAGCGCCTGGCATACACAGACTTGGGACCTGGAAGGCAAGAAAAACGTACATTCAACGAACGGCCTGTACGTAGTCGGCGATTCCAGAACCTGGGGGTTCTTGATGCGAAGCATCGTCTGCTGGAAGCGGGCATTGTACTTGACGCCGACGCCGGCCATGAAGCCCCCCAGCCGCCTGCCAAAATCGCCCTCGCGGGCGCCGGGCCGCTGCTGATCCCAGAACGCTGATGGGACGCGCCTTGTAACTGGTGGCGGCCGCCTATTACGAGGATAACGTCAAAACGACGGCGCAAGTGAGGGACGTAACCTCGTTTCTATCAAGGGGTTACTGTGGCCGAAACTGTGCCCGAAAATCTGCCCGGGTGTGGTCGAAACCTGCGCCCGAAGTTTTCCGAATGTGCTCGAACGAGACCACGATTGTTTGGTTCGAAGCCAGTACGATGTCCAATGCCGGTCATACATTCGATCACACTGCGTTTTCGGTTACCGAACTATTCGGTCACATGCCTTTCGGCTGATAAGGGCCGAGCGCCTTGAGGGTGTGGGTGATGCGGTCGACGAGTAGGCAGCAGCCAACATCGAATTGCGAAACCTGATCGGATCGGAACATGCGTCGGATCGGGCTGCATCGGTACGTAATCGGGATTGACTCGGATCGGCCGCGCCAAGATGCACAACGACGCAATGCGAGCGGATTAAGCCAGCCAGAATCGATGTCGTCTCGGATCGATCGGGTCGAAATGGGCCCTGGGAGGAGGAAGAGGAGGAGGAGGAGGAGGAGGAGGAGGAGGAGGAGGAGGAGGAGGAGGAGGAGGAGCAGAAGGAGCAGCAGCAGCAGCAGGAGTAGGTGGAGGGAGGGGAGGCGGAGGAGGGCGACCACGAGGACGAGGAGAAGCAGGAGCGGCGACGGCGAGGGACGCCGCCGATTGCCCCTGCGCTGGCCCGAGCCTCGCAAAGCTGTTCCTCTGGCGTCCTCCCCCTGCGCTCGCCATGAGGGAGACGTGGTCCCAAAGAGAGCAGGTCCTCGACCTCGGGGCTCTCCTCAAAACAAGTCCTGGGGCCGTGGAAGGCCCCAGGGCCTCGAAAACGGCAACAACAAAACTCCAGAACCCCTTTCCTCCAGGGCCTGCCTCCTCTCTGCGTATCATCCCCCTCCTCTTCCCTCCTCGCCCCCCCTCTTGCTACTCCGCCTCTGCCGTCCTGGCCCCTCTTCCTCCTCTACCCCGCCTCACAAGACGTCCTCCCCCCCACCCTCCTGCCTCCGCTGTCCCAGCTCCCAACGGGAACCCCTGATGGGCGCTTCAGCGGACCCCGACGCACATGCAGGATGCTCGTCTGCCAGCAACCTGGGAACGCGCATAGCTGGATCAACATCAGGAGCGTGTGGGAGCGACGCGTTCAAGACGCATGCAGAGAGCCGTCGCTGGAAAGGGTACGCGGCCACGTGTGAATTCAGCTCTCGCCCAGGCTGGCTGCGGCATGTGCAGCCGGCTCCCTGATAGTCCACGAAGCGACCCCCTGTGTCCCCGGATCTTTAGACGGAACGACTGGGTTCTGCGCTGTGCTGCGTCGAGCTGCAAGCCGAGCCGTTCGAGTGGAAGCTCCGTCCGGATGAGCACGCTCCCTGCCGCCTCTGCAAGGCTTCTTGTCTACAGTCAGCACGCAAGCTTTTGAGATAAGCGCAGCCCGTACGCCACCGGAGGATACGCGGGAGCAGGAACAGACCCAAGAGAAGGCACGAGTCCAACGTGCTTGCTTTTTGTTCCAACTGATTCCAGCGAGTACCCCGCCCCAAACAAGCACGACATGTCAAACAGGCAACGACAACTAAGGGCTGGACCCTGCCCAACTACCAGATCATCCAGCAAGCGCACGCAGCTATAGAATTCGAAGGAGGACCCCAAATAGCGAAATGGTGCAATCTATTGCGCGACCCATGGCCGCTGCCCATGGGCACGATCTAAGGCGTAGCCGATGGCCCTGGCAAATCAGCGGCAACCATGGCAAAACCCATCGCGGCAACCCACGGCCGCAACCCAATGGCGCAGCCCATGACATCGACATCAGCGGTGCCCATGGCGCAACCAATGGGCGCAATCTATTTGAGCAGGGACCGACCGTCCCAGCATTCCTATAGGCCTACCACGAAATTTTCTTAGAACCCAGAAAGAAATGCTCTAATAACAAAAGCATTGTCCTTAGAACATAAGCACCATGGGTTAAAACAAGACAGTCCCATCCAGAAATGTTCTTAGAACATTTCGTGCGAACCACAAAAGGTTCTTAGAACATTGTTTGGTAGTCCTATAGGCGAGCTAGGACGCTTCGCCACTTCTTGACCGATGGGCGCAACGGATGGCACCGAAAACTCAGCGGCACACATGGCCTAACCCATGGGCGTCTACTAGGGCATCCGATACTTAAGCGGCGCGCCGTGTTCGATAAGCTAAGCCCAAGTACGACCCCTGAATGCAAACACTGCCTTGGAGAGTTTCAACGGCGGGATCTAACAGCCAGGGCCAATTGCAATTTCCACAAACTCCTGTAAACTCGGCGGCCAAAAAGCTTGATGCGTCATCGTTCGTACTGGGAGCCCTGACGTTCAGAACTATTTGCGTCACCGTTCGCTGTTGGGAACCTCAGCGACAAACAACTTGTTACGTCACCGGCTCGTCTGAACATTGGTTTTCTGCCAATTGCCCAGAACTCTTGGGAACCTAGGTGTCACAACTGTGTCCGTCACTGGGCCGTCTGGTGGAAGAAGCCTGGCAAGGCGAGACCAGGAGATTCCTTCAACCACCAACGGAAAACATGTATTATGCCAATTGAATTCCTTTGTGCGTCCTCATAGTGGCCGTCTCGGGGCGTCTTGGGCTGCTCACAGCACCGTTCTCTCCTAATCTCCTAATTCGTGGCCTTGGCATTCAAAACCTTTTTCCTTAATTACCGTTCGATCTTCGGAACCTTGGCGTTGACGGCTTGTCACGTCACCGTTCGCTCTTGGGAGCCTCTGCGTTAAACTCAACGCAAATCACACCTAACTTTTCGGAGCCTGAATGCCTAAGCGTTGTAACCGTCTGGGGGTCCTCTTGGGGGCCTCTGGGGGCCCTCTCGGGGACCTCTTGGAGCCTCTGGAGTGCATCAGGGGGGCTCTTGTCATGCTGGGGGTCTGTGTCAGTCGCGGGGCCCTCTCGGGGGCCTCTCGGGGCTGTGATGGGCCTGTCTTTCTCCACCACCACCACCATAAGTTGGAGGGGGGGAGGAGGTGGAGGATGAGGAAGAGGACGAAGAGGAGGAGGAGGAGGAGGAGGAGAACCAGTGTAACCCCAAGAGTCATCAACGATGTTGGAGTAAACCCACCCTCCAAGCTCCTTCTTCATAGGCCCCATACAACGGTTCATTTCCATTGATGGAACTGCGTCGTTGGAAGGCACCCGTTACAAGACTCTGAAGCATACCAAAACATCGTTCTCGGGATTCCAACGCCACGGGTCAACCTAATTGTTGCTTCTTGACGATCCGGAATCGTGCCAGAACGCCATTCCTAGGACTTCAACACAGAGAATCAACCTAACTGTTGCGCCCGAATAGTTCTGAATTCCTCCAAACACCATGTCTGGTACGTTGGTGATAGGAACCCGTAAAACTCTTGCAAAGTGATTGCGAATGTGCGTAGCGCTAAAGCGAGAGCCACATGTTGAAAAGGAACCGCCCTCAATCCGTGAAGCTCTTGCAAACATTTAAAACGAATGTGCGCGGCGCTCAAGCGAGAGCCACGTTTTGAAAACAACCCGCCCTTTTCCGCGAAACTCTTGCAAATATTACAAACGACTGTGCGCGGCGCCCAAGCGATAACAACATTTTGAAAAACACTCGCCCTCAATCCGTGAAACCCTTGCGATTTTTTGAAACGAATGTGCGCCGCGCTACGGCGAGAACCACATTTTGAAAACAACCCGCCCTCAATCCGTGAAACTCGTGCACATGTTTAAAACGAATGTGCGCGTCGCTAAGGCGAGACCCACATTTTAAAAACCACTCACCCACAATCCGTGAAACCCTTGCAATTTGTTGAACGAATGTACGCCGCGCTGGGGCGAGAGCCACATTTTGAAAACGACCCGCCCTCCATATGTGAAACTGTTGCCATTTTTAAGCTTCACAATCAGAAAGGTTGAGGAAATCTTAGGCGAAACGCCCGGCCCGCCCTAAAAACTTGCCTCGGGGTGCGAGTGGGAAAAGTTATGTATTAGGAAAAGAATTGGAGGAGGAGGACCCCCTTCCCCTCTT